AGACAAACTAAGCGTAGAAGATGCGGTTAAATTGACGGGTATTATAAGTGGAGCTCTGGCCACGCAAAATTGGTTGGTGGCCCAGGGTATACTACCGGGCAGTATAATTAAAACGGCATAATTTAAATAGGTTTATTAAATAAATGGCTGGGGGAGGATTTGACTTTGACCCCGTTGATGATTACGATTACGATGACGATGATGATGATGTAGCAGAGACCAATCTGGATGACAACTTTGATACTCCTGCACCAGCAATCCTCACTACCGACATAGATGACGTTTTAGATCAAGGAAGAAGCATGGTCACTAATGGTCGCGTTGATGAGTTTTACGATACTTGTAACATATACAATAAACCAATATCTCCGAGATACGAAAAATGTATTCTCAAAACAGACGGTTTATTTTATGACACTGGTAAAGGCTTACTAAGGTTAACGGATCAAAGAAACCCAAACAAATATTTGACTCTGAGGACTATAGAGTTAAATGTAAGAAAGATGGGTTTAAACGGTAGAGATTTTATTAGAAAGGAATTAGGCTTTACGCACTACGAACGTAAGACACTCAGTGACGATCAAAGTCAACAACTGCGATCGATACAACCCGAGAGTATCCCCATGACAGAACTACCCAGAGTCACCGATGAGGTAACCGAGATTATAGACGATTTACAACGCGACACCGGCGCACAAACAGAAGGATTGAATTACAGAGAACTCCATGGTTTAGACAAAACTCTTCAGACGTTGAGAGGTAACCTAGAACTTAATTTAGCGCGTCTCACAGAACTAGACCGAGAGATTGCAGCCACGAGACAAGAACTCGACGAATCTCACAGCGAAGAGGGTCGACGAGAGTTAAGCGATAAATTGAGCGACTTAAACGTTGAAAGATCCGCCAGATTAGAAGCCGCAAAAGCCAACGAACGAGGGCTCAAAAGTCAGATCGCTAGAATCAAAGAAACGATTAATAAAATATTAAAACGACCAGATTAAAATATTAGCAGACTCCAAACTTAACACGATTGAAGAATACGTGTCTCAAGCCATCAACGACGGAGATATAACGCACGAAGATTTAATATTGATTACGAGAGAGCTCGCAAAATTAAACGAGCTTAAACAAAAAATTAGAACAAAGACCAGCACAAAGCTTCAAAAAATTAAAAACGATACAGACTTTGAAAAAGAAGTTAAAAAAACGGGTCGACGAACGGCTGGCAAAGGAAAAAAAATCTCTCATCGAAAAACTTACAAGTTCAAATTCTCGGTAAATAAACATGATGAAGGCGATCCACCAAGTTATACCTCTATTTCACCTCTTAGGGCGTCACCCTCGGCCCCACCTTTATTGTAGTGGTCATAGTGTCTTTTTAGTGCTTTATTAAATTGATTTTGAGTTACTTTAAATAAATCTCTAACTCGTTCTTTGTCTAATCGAACTACATAATAAAAACACGCGGCTATTAACGACCGTTTAACGCATCCGTTTCCCCTCAATGTTTTGTAATTAACGAGCTTGTTATATTTATTAATTGTTTCTTGGACATCTTCTAAGACTTGCTCTGGACACACAGAAAAAATAAGTTTCTCCACAGTTTTTCTTTTATTTCTTTTTAAAATTGACCAATTGATACGATCTTCTTGGGTGAGAGTATTTCACCGCACGTTTCACAAATTAAAAAACCATTCTCGATGATTATATGGTGATCACATTGATCTGTTTTATCAGATAGCTCGAGGTTTTTACTCTGAAAAAGATTCATTGATATATCTAATAAAAACCGATACTATTTTTTATAATTTTTCAAGTACTCGTCGGTCTGAACATATTACTCTCCATTTTTATATAAAAACAGCTTCTCTACCTTTTCACAGGTTGAGAAGCTAATTTGTTTATATTCCGAGTTTCAAGGTCACGTGGTGGTGACATCACCTCATTTTAGCGACGACAGATTTATTTTTTAACTCCAGAGCGACAGGCCCTGACTTGGCACACATTTTTCTATTTTGCTCCCGAACCTGACGTCAGATTTCTAAAAATTTGCCGCGGGGGATTCCCCTATATTTTTCCCCCAACTATTTTTAAAACTGAGAGCGGCGTGTCCAGGCTTGCCACAGATTTTTTCCATGTTGGTCCCGTACCCCCACCTTCCCTACTACTGCAGGAAATGTAAGTCAGTCAGTTCATCCAAAAGATTGCACTAACAACAGCCATGACAGCCTCAGGTCATATACTCCGGACAATTTCACTTTTATAGCTCCATGCCTACACTAGTACTCCGATTTCTTTTCATTCACTATTTTTTGAGCTACAAAACACCACTCTGTGAGTCTGTGAGTTTGTGTATATCTTCCAACAAAAAGATGTTAACACAAAGATCCCATCACATTCATGTCGTGATGACTTCACCTCAATTTTGTCAACTTTTCGTGAAACACATGCGCCCCATATCATCCCAGTATAGTTAACAACACGTAAAAAGTGGAGTATTTGAGCCACATTAATGTGTGTGTGGGGGGGGGGGGGTACACCCGTCCTGGGCCACGATACACCATGGGTACACCTAGACCCGGCCGGTACGTGGCTTGTATACATATCCACGTGATACACCATGCAGCTCTGCATACATTATCCACGTGACCATGGTGACGTAACCATATCGTCACCAGTCGTCAAAAAATCACCAATTATACAATTAGGCCTAACACTTCATCTGAAACGTTTACATACAAAACAGTATTCATTATCCAACAGACATTTACAAATACAAGCTAAACAAAACAATTTGCTAACATCACTAAATTTTCCGCTAACAAAACTGCTCGTATATCGCAGGTCGTACCTCGAAAGCTGATATATGGTTCTGGGTACTATACTTTATACAGTACATGCACTAGGTTTGCTCGTAGCAAAGATCCTAGAGCGCGTTCGTAGACATGTTCTGAGGCACCATACTAACACAAATAAGAGGGCGCTCTACTAGGCCAAGTTCGCGCAAGGACTATAGTTGACCAATGGTTAACTAACGTTTGCCCGAACTCTGTCTAGTCGACGGCGGTTAACTACGCTAGTCGACTATTTGGAACTAGCCTACTGGTGTTGGTTGCTTCGCTGGTAACCAATAGCCGCGCGCATTCATAACGCTAGCAGAGAGCCAGGATCCAGCAGTTTTGCGATGACATTTTGACCAGCGTTTGACAAGAGACGTTCCGGCACGTTGCTATTAGTGCGCAGGCGTAAGGTATGTCACAAATGGTCCTTGCCCGAACTTGGCCCTAGTTTTGTCCTTAAAACCACTGGCGGTATAACGTATACACCGCCGCGCCACGCGCGCGTACATCTCACTGCCTAAACAATATCGCATTGCATAGCTCAGTGCACCGGCGGCGGAACCGGGAGGGCAGAGGGGGCAGTTGCCCCCCCCCCCCCACTTTTGAATAGGTAGCTATTTTGCCCCCCCCCCCACTTTTTACCAGGAGCGATTTTTTAAAAACCAGGTTAATTAAAATGATGCAAGAGGTAAAAAAAGATTTTTGAACACGTGTCTTATTTATAGGGCCCTATTAATAGTATTATGTACTACAATGTATCTTTTGCTCAGAAAATGTTGGTTAAAGTGGTCAGAAATTGCCTCAGATCGCACCACAGAGCATCTAGAATCCAAAAACGCCTCAAGGGCTTCGCGCTTCACGCTCGCATCAGTTCTGATCAAGGTATGTTCCCCCACTTTTGAAAAGCGAATGACACCCCTGGTTGGGGTTGAAATTTGACAATAGGCCTTATACCTAAGTGAGTATGGCGACACAAAATTAGAAAAATGATTCGAAAAATAGGGATATACCGTAATTTTCGGAATATAAGCCGCGCGGTGTATAAGCCGCAGCACGCAAAAATCTGCAAATTAAGATCTGAAGTCGGCGTATATTAGCCGCCTCCAAAAATTCTAGTCAAAAAGCTCTGAACCAGTTCCATTTACACTACAGAAGCTATTAAAAGGGCCACAAAATTTATATCAAATCATCCACAGCAATAAGGCATCACATTGATAAAATTGTCCAACACTGTACTAACAATATTACAATATATTGGCAATAAAATGTTACTTTGCCGTAACAATACACTATACATCTAACACCAAAATATACACCTAAATTATTGTACAATGATTTAATATCGTGACTTAAATTGTCTTATATTTACAGCAAAATACCACAGTGAATAACATCTAGAAGCAAAAGCCCCATCATACTCGGCACAAAAGCGAACGCGAACGCGAGTTTGTGTTGTCACGGCAATTTGCCGCGCTGTGAGTTGGCAAAAGAAAAACCACACTTTTAAACTCAGGCGAATTTATCGGCGAATGCTTCCTGAAGTCAGATGCGCTTCGCAATCGAATTCGAGTGTAGTATGAACCGGCCCTTATTCAAACAGTTTGATTACTAAAATATTTCAATTATCGAGAGGTTTCTCAGCTCCCACAATTCACTTTGATTTTGCGAGTTTATTGTTTTGGTCAATTATGTATTGCGTTTGTAACAGTTCATTTTTCTATTCTTTTTTTATTCTGTATTTCGAACAATGTATGAACATAATACATTGTATTGAAGATTTAAGATGGCAGCACAGCTTAATATATATTTTGTTTTTACTGTACAACAAAGTACTACAATTACAGTTTAGACGTTTCTACTTAAAGCGAAAATACTATGAAAAAAAGGAAAAAGAAAACCGCTATAACTTTTCAAGAGATACACAAGGCCAAGTTTTCACACGTACCGCGCTTTCACTTTTCTCAAGATACAAATTCACGCAAGGGCCCTTATAGTGATTATTCCAAATCCTCAGTTTGTTTTTGCTTTCTGAAAAATATTCCTCTTACCAAATATACTAATTTTTCTAATAATCAATATTCAATATTGTTGTCGAATTTATTTTGCATTGAATGAAATGTCAGCGGTGTCGAACACAATAACCTGAATGCTTCAGCTGAATTAATCATGGCGACATTCAACCAGCTCCAATCGCAGAGCAGCATTCTTATGCTGTTCAACAGACTCAATGCGGACTACCGTGGCGACCACACTCTCAGCAAACAGGTTAGTGACTGGAGTGTTGACATCAGTGTTACCGATGAACACCTGAAATGAATCCCAATGCAATTAACGCACGTTAGCAACAAAAGTAGCCTCCTTGCAGTAACGTCTTAGACCAAGACCATTAAAAGAGCGGGCAATCTCAACAGAGGGAGTCGTCCTTCCAAACAGAATGCCAACAAACCGTAAATATATAAAAAGTAAACTGTGTGTCCTGGGTGGGACTCACTTTTAAGTTCATATTCAGCCATATAAACCTCACTAGACTGGGCTCCATGGGTTATTACTTCAGCTTCAGAGCATTTTACCTTTTTTTTAATAAAAGCAATTTTCTCATGAATAACCTTTCTATAGGAGAATGTAGCATCAATATTTTTTGTCGTTGCTTCTTTGGTTGCTATAATTAGACACGATTTCAGAATGGATAAATAATTGCATTAGCATGGAACCGAATAACGTCGTACAGAATAAAGCTATCAAAATGCGAGAAAAGCCCAAACGAAATTATGATTTAAAGAAAAAGTTACGTGTACAATATTTTTTTTAACTGTCCAACGTATAACAGTTAAATTCAGCTTACAGCAAGACTTAGTCACTATTGATACTCACCTTGATATTTCCGTTTCCATCTGTTATGTGTTCATAGTCAGATGAGGGCTGCTTCTTGTACGCCACCTTGTACTTCTTCACATATCTAAAGTAGTGGCCTTGTGTGATGACCCCGCTCACCACTGTAGGCTGAACGAGGTCCACCTCGATCCAGGGATTGGCATCGTACCTGTACACAGAGGGAAGAGAGGATGAGGAACAATGAAATAACAATACTCCGCAAATCCGGTTGTGGAATGGATTTGAAAATTGAATACAGTTATTGAAACTTGTTACAGTGTGCAGTTCAAATGCGCATATGGGTTGGGCTTTGGCCGGGGATGATATTTGTTTTATAATGAAAAACAAAACTAAGCAAGAAAAAGATTGTTGAACAAAATAAAACAAAACGGAATGTTATTTTTATATAATGAAAAGGAGAACCTAAAAGGAAAAACAATGCCAAACAAAATAAAACAAAATAAAAAACAAAAACAAAACCCCACTGATGCGATTACATGTGGATGTTCATTAATGAAACACACTCAGGAGCGTTTTGTGACATTATAATTATACTGAGTGAATACTAATATTGATGTAAAAGCGCTTTGATATTGGTTAAAAGTTTATGTAAGAACCCGTTATATAAACATATGAGAGTGAAGTGTCAGGTGTTGCATTTCCCTTTGATACATACCTATAGGCCATCCATCCGTTGTTATTGTTTAGGCGTGCCTCACTCGCAGGGTAAATGTCGTAATCAGTGGACGCCGTGATGCGATCATCGTGGATTGTCCCGTCCTCCATACCAAGGGGTTGCGGGCTTGAACACTCCGCTGGTAACAAACGAGTAAAGCAAACGAAACTGATTCTAATTTAAATAATAAAACATGGAAACATTGTGTGAAAGCTAATCTGATTCTGAACTATAATTTGGGGTAGAAAACCTGATGACACTTTTCATCTTATAAACCTCAATGATGAGTAACTGAAGATTCACGAATTCACGAACATTTTCATTTCAATGTAATAATGAAAATGCAAAACTTATTTCCCTTGTTTTCTAGTACTGATATGAAAACGCGATTCCATGATGCTTTCCAAACATTATTGTAACCTGGATTATTCTCTGCAGGCTGACAGTCGAAGTAAGCTTGAATTTCGTCGGAATCCTCGCTCATGAAAAGCTCGTTCAGGTAGTGGGGCGCCCCCTGGCGGTATGACGAAGCAGTGATGCGCATTCCGCCGAGGCGTATAGCAGTGCATTCGCACGGATCTTCGTACGGTAAGAACCAACGGGGTGGCATACCAGAATGTGGGTTGTACTCCGATCCGATGAAGCAGACTTGATGACACGAGATCGTCACTATAATGTACGTTTGCATGGAAAAAATACACTAGTATTAGCTTTTTTTTCATAGATCGGAGACAGTAGGAATGCGCTATATTTTATCATAACGAAAAGTTTGGGGCACAAACGCGCAAAAGATCAATGTGTGTGAGACAGCTCCACAGCTTGCCCAATTGACCTTGCGATTTGCATACCACATGCATCACGCTGGCCACGTGAACTCACACAACCGACCACTGCAAGAAATTTTGTTTGGTTGTTTGTATCAAATATTTGAAAGAGAACTTCATCCTCTTTACAAAACCACTACCCCCTGTGCGCTCTGACATCGGGTTCTCGAGATACGTTGAGATAAACAACCCAAGGTCTCTCACAAATGGTAATTTTCTGTTCCGCTCCAAGGCAATTGCCTCATACCCCACATTTCCAAACCAGACATAGATAGACGTAAAGCCAAAAGAATGAATTTTCATAATCTGCAACCCCCAGATTTGAGCGATCGATCTTTCTGGTAATTTCCCCACGTTAAAGCTTGTGTGTACATTTCCGGTTGAGCAGATGCGCGCTACTTTATTAAGTTGGGTAAATTTTAGTAAATACAACAGACTAAAACAAAACCAAAAATGCACATTTATATTGTATCGCCATGAAGGCTAACGAGAAAGATAAAATTAGCTCCCCACTCATGAAACTAATATTGCCTTCTTACTCTCCAACATACTGTGGCCTCACGCAGAAAACACTACTGAATCACCGAATAGTAATAGTGCCGCACAGGTATTAACACGGCCAAAGATTGAGGGGGTTGACTGACAAATGGGGGCGCTACTCAAGGAGCTCGGCAGTAGACTCCTTTTTTCCCCCATACAACACATTATTCGCTATGGTTGCATAACAATACAAATTAAAAAAACACCTCCAAACCATAGATAAGCAAAGGTATAATGTTTCAATGGACAAACAAACAAACAAACACAATTTCAGGGAAACAGGAATTAAAGAACAAAGGTCACACTTAGTGGGACTCGAACCCATGACCTACGGATGGGGACTATTGTCTGTTCAACTGAAATGTCATCCTGGTGGGCGTCTCTGTGACCCTCGATAGAAATTCTACGCGTTAAAATTCTAGATTTGCAGTCCCCGAAAAGGCTTTGTAAATTGCAACTAGAATATCAATTTGTGATAATTGATAAAATCGCCTGATCTGAATGAGTTATACGGCCAAAAATGTATCTCTCAATTCCCTTCCGATAATCTTAGATACATGCAGACTAGTGCCATATTAATACGTACCACAGCCTTAAGTCGACGTATAATCCTACAATTTTGATGATCACTTGATGGAAGTTTTTAATGAAATTTTAAAATATCTGATTTACTTCAAAGATTTGAAGAAAAATATAAACCTGATCATTTATCGTTGGCCCAGTCGGATGCTTATAGCATGGCACCAGTAATCTGCTCAGACAAACTCAGTAAAATCTAGAACCCATCGAAATCTTCACAACATTCTAACATTTCCCATTCTTGTGGAAGTGATGCGAAATAAAACTAGCGGCGCACAGCGAAAGAGACTTAGGGACCGTAATATCGGAAATGAAAGGTCGTATTAAATGAAATTCTTTCAAGTGATTTTGTTTTTGCAAATTTACTCGTAGAGTACCCACGCAGATAAAATTCAAAAAGTAATTTTTCATGGCGTCGTTACATTTTGAAATCATTTTCCCCAAAAATATAAGATAGAAGGCAAAATTGCAACACAATGAAAAGTACTCACAGATGAGCCCCGAGACCTTTCAATTTCAGACTCTATATACATATGTCACCGATACACGGCAAGTACCTCCTCAGTAGTGACGTCTGGTGGTAAACCCATTCTTCACTAGATTTGACCCAAAAAATACTTTTGGTCTGCCTCGGACGACCAGGTTTGCACAAAACAATAGCAATCCTTCAAAATATTCTCCAAATTAGCGTTTTGGAGCCTTTGAAAAGAAAACAATGTGAAGGACAGAGTTCAGAAATGCAAGGTTCGTAGACATCACATAATTGTATCAGGCGCGGGCCATATGTGAAATCTTTTATAACCCAAACCTGAGAGAATTCACAGATTAAAATTTATAGTCACGTGACCAAGTACAATTACTAGGAATCAAATGTGGCCGCCATTGACGCGAAAAGCGGCTTTTTCCTTGTTCCCCCATTTTTTTTTTACAAAACTGTCTTGTTTTCGGGTAGGTTAATTCAAGACTTCTTAATTTAAAAGAAATCAAGAACATATAATATTACCTTATGAATCGTATTGTGCACATATTTAACAAAATCTCGGTTTGCCCCCACAAATAGGTAGACCTATAACGCCCTTTTACGATGACTTTATAGTACCAAAATGTTGACTAAAAACCCAAATTATGAATGTATTTACACATCTGAAGTGACATACCCTCTGTTGGCTAACCAACACAACTGATAATTTCAGGACAATCGGCCGACTTAAAAATTCAATGGAGAATTACCATTGCAACTTGGGGTTTTATGTTGGAAAGTAAATAGAGGGATGCATATTATGTCCCCGATCCTGATCTAGCTAAGCTTGTCTGCTATTGCCAACAAATCAGTCAGGAATTTGAGGACGTACCTCCCCGGATAGATATTAAATCTTACCTGCCATTGCTGACAGCATCACAACCAAAGCTGCTGCTCCGTCCATTGTCCAAGATGCAGTGAATTCTGGGCACAAACGTACTACGATGTATCACGACTCATGCACACACCAACGCGAATTAAAAGACTACGCATTAAACCACTGAACAACACTTGGGTAACAGCCTCAACTCGAAAACTTGCCCAAAACTTTGTCTAATTAGTGCAAGGATTGGCAATCCGTTAAATTGTTTGTATTCATCAGATACTCAAACACCACAACGATGAGGAATGCTTCTAAAACGGTACCGTGTATGACGCTATGATCCAGAGTCTGTTATGTTGATCGTATATCACCGAGTATACAAACCAAGGCACAGCAACAACGCAGCCGTGTACCACGGAACAGGCTTACGTCATAGGAAGCCTAGCCAATCATGAACTAGCCTGGAACGTTTAAAAATAAAATGAAACGTGAAATATTGCAATAAAGAAGTTTTATCTTTGATATTAACGTGATCATATGATATTGACGGGGACGTGAGAAGGCTTTGAAAAGGCGACTAATTAAAACGCATTATGCCCTGTAGCCAACAAGCTTGCTCAATTAACGAACCTTCATAATAAACCACTAATGAGTTTTTGGAAAAATGTGAAGCGAGAGCGCAGACATTGTAATTAAGACGTTTTGTCCGTGATATTAACGTGATCGTAGAATAATGATGGGGAAGTTAGAAGACCTTCAAATGGCGACATATTAAAACGAATAATGCCCTGTAGCCAACAAGCGTGCTTCAATTAACGAACCTTCATAATTAACCACAAATGAAAGTTCGGAAAATGTGAAGCGAGAGCGCAGATATTGTAATTAAGAATTTTTTGTCCTTGAAATTCATAGTGTTTACATAAATAATAATTCGAAGGCATCATCAGCAGGCTATCAAAAAGCAACATATTAAAACCAATTTACTCGCGCAGTATGGCCAAAGGGTCTTCCCATATTTTTTTTATTCATTTAAACTTCTTAGCCTATAATAGAGATGTTTACATTTGAGAGGTTATAAGAATTTAAACCAATCGAAAAGTGAAAATACATTGTAATTGAAGTGTGGCATTATATATCCTTCGACAACTATTCACAAGAAAATAAAAGAAAATGTAATGTTCTCTTATGCATAACAGAGGTCTCATTGGAACAGTGACATTATATAAGCGCCTAGTATTGAAATATTTCAATATAGTCGGTTGCTGTCAAGCATGGGCGTAAATCCTGCAGGTAAAAGGGGAGGACATATCGCCCACACATGACGACAAGGGGTTAGTTTTGAGGTGGTGTACGTGTTCTACGGGTGGGCGTGTGGGTTTACATTTTACACATCGTGGACCTTAAACACAATGGAGGACAATAGGGTCAACGATTGACCGAATGTCCACTTTTGATTTGCGTGTACAAAACACATGTGATGTCTTCCAAAAAGAAGTGGCCAGTATGACTACAGAAACGTTATGGGCCAATGCATTCTGGAAACGACCAAAACCCGTCGGGAATTGGCTTACTCATAATTGAGGTTAATAATAGTAATGTGGCTGTTTTTCTTAATAGTGTTAGAAAATAATGAAGTAGGAAATTGTAACGAGTTAAAATTGGCTATGGTTGCACTACTTTGATTGACTGAAATATATTGTATTCAGTATAATTGAAAGATTTTCCACCAGAAAGCGGTAAAAAAAATTTTTGGAAGTTCTAAGCGTTGTACCCAAAAGTTTTTTTGTGGTGGTGGTGGGGAGGGGAATCCCCTGGCCATGGTTCAAGGGCGGATCCAGGGGGGGCCAAAGGGGGCCATGCCCCCCCCAAAAAACGAAACCAATTTTTTTTTTTTTATGTGACATCGCAATAAAGGCAGGCAATGAGTACACCACCATCTTTTCCTCAAAAAAACATTGGTTAAAGTGGTCAGAAATTGCCTCAGATCGCACCACAGAGCATCTAGAATCCAAATTTTTTTTTGGCCCCCCAAAAAATTGTGTTCTGGATCCGCCCTTGCCATGGTTTCCCATAATTGGCGGGATATTGTATTGCCTTCCATATACTTGTGTACAAAACATAGGAATGATCACGGTATAGTGCATCTTATAGGGATTACACCGTTGATACTAGAATTGGCAATGCGTTATTACTTAACTTATTGCGCATGAAGGTTACCGCTGCCTTCCTGCTGTCAATTAATCAGTCTGCCGACATGGTTGACTTTACATTATTATAATTAACGGCCATGTAAAAGAAATTACTATATGAAGTCAAAGCACTGTCAGTAATATTACATCAGTATTTGACGGAAATGACGGAATGACGGAAACATTGTACTTTTACCCAATTTCTTTCATGGTATACGCAACATTTACAAATTTTACATAACAAAACTTCCAAATTATTACAAAATATCGTACTTGATTAGTGCTTTCACATCATGGTACTTGCCGTCAGTTTTAAGAAAAAGTAGATTTTTTTTGTAGCAATTGTAAACGGTGGTTATCCAACCATCATTGGGGAAAAAACTGACTATTTTTTTCAAATACCAACTCCAATTCACCAAAGATAGTTTGTCCACATTTTATTTAACGGGTGCAAGCCACCTAGTCTGGTTCCCTAAACTGAACATTCCCTGCCATCTGTAAATTACTGCGTCTCGTCTGCAGTAGCGTCAAGGAATCGGACTACAATGATTTTTCCTTGTATTTTTGCCAGTATTAATGACCACAAAATTTAGCTAGGTCAGTGTAACAATATTTGCTACAAAATACTGATCTCAAACTTCGTCCATTTCTACAAAAATACAACAAAAGCAAATGTTCTATATTACCTATAAATACAAATGAAATAGGAACAAAAAATTGATGATATATATGTGTCACCATATTTCAGTCTGTACAGATCAGGTACATTGTTTTTTTTTTTATTTACTAGGATGACTAACTTATAGCAGCAGCAGCAGCTGCAGCAGCAACAGCAGCAGCAGCAGCAACAGCAGCAACAGCAACAGTAGCAGCAGCAACAGCAGCAACAACAACAACAACAGCAGCAACAACAACAGCAGCAGCAGCAGCAACAGCAGCCAGGAGCAGCAGCAGCAACAACAGCAGAAAAAGCAAAAACAGCACTAACAGCAGCAGCAGCAGCGCAAACAGCAGCCAGCAGCAGCACCAGCAACAACAGCAGCATCACCAACAGCAGCAGCAGCAGCAACATCGCAGCAGCAGCAGCAGCAGCAACAACAACAACAAAAGCAGCAGGTACAACAGCAGCAGCAGCAGCAGCAACAGCAGCAACAGCAGCAGCAACATGAGTAGCAACAGCAGCCAGCAACAGCAACGGTAGCAGCAGCAGCCTGCAGTAGCAGCAGCAACAACAGCAACAGCAGCAACAACAGCAGCAGCAGCAATGGTTTCAAAATTGGAGAAGGTTTATTCAATATTACGGAGAAGGTTCTTCTTACAAGCCGGATTCAATTTGTGGTCTCCCGCTCCAGTCGCTTCGCATCTTCGCCGTTTGGTATAATGCCGGCAAGATAAGGCATGGTGGCCTTGACGAAAGGCTACCCATGTCTATGCTCGCACGCACACGCACGCACGTACGTGTACATGCATGGAAAGCAAGCTCTGTGACTTTGCATTATTTATTTTTTTAGCTAATCTGATTCATGCATTGTTTTGGCCTGGATCGAATATATTTCAGGTTGGAAAATTATTCCCATGGCATGTAAAACAAAATTAGGCATCACGCCGATGGGGGCGAAGATTCCCGAATTAACTGCGCGCGACCACAAACATCGTCACCGTGCACGGACGGTCACCACGGCCGGCGAGTACAAGTGCGCGCACAATGCCCAGCCAACAACGATAATTATAACTGTGCGTGCATAATTACGCAAGCACACACGCTTACACAAGCATATAAGTGGTTTACTTCCTTTGTTCTCGTGTCCTAATGCCAAAATGCTCTTATTTTAACCAGAATTGTGTCCGACGGTCGATTATGTCCGCCCCATTGTGTCCGACGACCGATTATGTTTTGAAAAAAATATATATAGGTGTATTAACAAGCAATGGCAGCCATTTTGAAAAGTTAGAAATTACTCGTCTACCAATAGTACCTTTTCAAATTAGAAATCTGCGACGGCTATATAGCCAAATATCTGCAGTTACAATCCAAAGATAATTTAATAATGTCAGTAC